CCCCCTTTCACCAATCCCAAGGGTATTTACATATGTAGTAGAATGCAAATCCCACCATCCAATTCCATCTCACAAGATCCAAAGTCAAAACTCAAATTTCACATTGTATTTACAAGTGATTTGTCTGGAAACCTCTGAGTCTCTCAAACAGAACAATGAAAGGGAATTGCATGGAAGCAGGAAGAAAGAATGAAACGTGAACAGAGAACGATGGATCTTCGAATGGGGGAATGAGTAAAAGGCAAAATAAAATAGAAACATAAAAAGTGTACCTCCAATCATCTTCAGAAAAAAAAGAACGCCTTTCCCAAAGTAATGCAATAGAAACTTTCCAAGAAGGAATTTAAAATGAGTCCTGTTCCACCAACAAGAAAGACATTAACATTTTTAAAAAGCTTTTCCGCAACTTAAATGCCCGCGATATCCATACCGACATATGCTCAAACCTCGGCTTACTGTCGAGGGAACGAGAGCGCAAATTATCCTTCATGCTTCACTCTTTTTTGATCTCCACCATCTCGATCTTCATCTTTTTCGGGCGTCTTTCTTTTACCACCCCTTTCACCATTATCGTCTCGGAGAAAACTTGGACCTGTGCCCACAACAGGTGTTGCAAAATTCAATGGGCTAGGTAATGTATTTGAATCACCGCCTCTGCCATAATTCCATTCAGGATAGAATGATGAAGGGCTTGGGAGGAAATCATTATTCATGAAACGCGACGGAAGAGCCGAGACCGGTGTCACGTTCTCTATTACATTGTTATTCGAGTTATTGTTGTTTCCACTTGCATTGGATCCTTGGGCAGGCTGTGTAACAGGATGTGGTCGTGCGAAAGGATTAGGAGGCCCCGATGCACCGGCTGATAACAAAGCCGAGGCGGAAGGCGAAGGTGGTGGGAGTACCATTCCGCCATGATCACCGCCATTGCGACGTGCCTGATGGTTAGTCGCACTCGCAGATTGTGGGGATGAGAGATCTTCCGCAGTGGCAGATCCACCATTATCCGATGCCTCTTCCGGAATCTGCACCTTGAGCACAGGTCTTTTGCCACCGCCTACACTCAATTGTGCACTGTTTGTACGAGATGGCGGCGTAAATCCGTCTGGTAAGGATGACATGGATATGTTGCGATTTTTGTTATGTGTTTGTGATTTTTGAAGTGGTGAAGGTGGCTTGATACGACTTACTGTAACGTCTACAGAATGAGAGCGATCGTCAGGTTCTTCTTTTACTGTATCGGCATTGGAAGTTGAGCTTGCCCAGTGTTGGGATAGAATGGATCGACTCTCATCAATTGGCGTGAAAATACTTCTTGATTTTACAGATAAGCGCTTGACTGGCTCCAGCATCTGTTGCGATGGATGAGCTTGTTGCTGTTCTGGCGAGGTTTGAGGCTGTTGAGGCGGAGGCGGAGGTGGAGGTTGTGGCATTCGCTGTTGTGGAGGCTGTGGGGGAGAAGGAGTTGCGCGCGAAGATGCAGGTCTTTCTTGTGGTTGAAATGGTAGTGGTGGTACTGAAGATCTTCTTTGCTCATCCACATACAGCTGTTGCACTTGTTGCGGATGAGGGTGTTGTTGAGAGATTTGCTGTGGGTGCTGTTGTAGGTGTTGCGCTTGGGGATGCTGCTGAGGATGCTGCTGCATGTGCTGTTGGGGATGTTGATGGGGGTGATGTTCGGGATTTTGTTGAGAGGGTCGTTGAGGGTTGTGATGCAGATGATGAGTTACAAAATGTGCGTATTGTGGTCCAGGACTCTGATGTGGATGGGGAATTCCTTGAGGCGGACCTTGTATATGCGGCGGAAGACCATGAGCATGTGGTGGCAGACCAGGTGTCATTTGAGGATTGTATAGTGGTGGATTTGGCGCATAAGCAAATTGGCCGTTGGTCGGAGGGCCTTGAGGATGCTGTGGTACAAGGGAGCTTTGTCTTCGTGGAGCATTTCTAGATGATGGTCGAGATCCCATTCCTGGTTGTGGTGTGTGCTGTCTTTGTTGTTGTGTAATATGTTGAAAGACACCACCATTTGGAATTGGAATTGGAGGAGAGGCAGATGGAGTATGATGGCGGATGTGCTGGTATGGCTGGTGTTGAAAGTGAGGAGGCATCATTTGTGGTGGTTCGACTGAGCCGTGATGAGAAGGAGGAGATCCATCATCATCATCTTCGTCATCGTCCATTCCCTTTCCTTTGCCTGAATAATCGGCAGGTCCTTTGTGTTCGTTGGCACCTCCATACTACATTCAATGTTAGTTTGGATGCTTGCGCCGGACGCGGTAGAACACGTACGTATTGATATCTTGTCATAATCTCTCCAATATCACCACTAGAATACTCGTATAATTTCTTATTGCTGCCAAATATTACAACCGCGACATCGACGGAGCAGAGGACGGAAAGCTCATGCGCCTTCTTGAACAAACCTCCTTTGCGCTTCAAGAAGGTCCTATAAAGATGAGATTAGCATTTTGCGCCGCAAATTATATTCTCACAAAGAAAACATACACTGAGCGGTTCCTATCATCTTTGATAGCCTTGATCTCAATCTTTCTTCTCCCCATTGCGGCTGCGGCGCGCCGTTCTTGTTTAATTTCTGATTCCGTGATTTGGTCCAGTTTCAGATGTGGAATGAAGACAAATTATTGATGTCGGACTCCTTGATTGTATAAGTCGCGTGAAATCGTAATCATCAATGAATAAACTTTTTGACAAAGGAACCAAAGCTTGGTAGGGAATTTATAATACCATGGCGGCCATATTGAGAGACACAAAGTAAGTTATAGTAATTGATTGTTCGAACAGAGGCGGAGCAATATGTCTGACGTCGGATGATAGTAGTTTAGATGAACGTGTTGTGGTGGTGATTGCGTTATATAAAACTCAAGTAGCAAAAGAGTAGGTACTGTAGATGAAGGAAGGATCTGATGAAGAGGGTCGTCGATAGGGTTGTGACCGAGGTTTTTTCGTGAGGGAGAGGGATGAGAGAGATATCGATGGGAGAGGAGAGAAAAGTGATTTTTGCTTCAGGCAATCGAAAGGCGCGAAGAAACTCGAAACACCCGTACTCAAATAGTGATACAACTCGGGAAGATAAAAGACCTTTTGTATTAGAAAACTTTGACTTGATTGAAATGTGTTATTTTGAGTAGGGGAGGGGGAGGAGTTGGCGATCAATGATGATATATTCTTTTTATTGAAGTACAACAATTAACTGATAGGACTGATAAAGTATAAATCACGATGGGGATGCTAATTATAGCTATTTTTGGATCGTGACGGGATGGAAAGGGAAGGGGGAAAATCTTGTGGTGTGGTAGATTTGAGAACGGGGGGGTTCTGTGGTTCTGTTGTTGTTCATTCTCTTTCTTTTTGACTTGAGATTTCAATATATATAAGCTAGCTTAAAGAGGAAGGATAACTAGGTAGGTAGGTACCTAGGTATAATAGTAGACAAAGGGGAGGGTGAAGGGGGTGAAGGGGGTGAAGGGGGTGAGGGGGGTGAGGGGGGTGAGGTGGTATTTCCCGTTATTTACTTTAATTTACCTTTTTGTGGTTAGACCTGTCTGTATTGTTATTCTACTCGAGTACTTTGTTTATTATACTCATAACCATCATTAAACAAAACTCTTTTCAGGTAATTATTAACATAGGGTTAAAGTTAAAAAAAAAGTCGTTTACCGGTACTGTGCATTATTTAGCGGCTCTTAGCTCATGGTACATAGTCGGGGAGCCCATTATTTGGGTGGATCTCAATATCTTGAATTGTTGATGCACCAACTGAAAAGAGGTAAAGAGTATGATATTTGATACAAGAGGATTGTATTGTGCTATTGTGCTAGGTTTGAGACCTTACCTAGTATGTATTGCTCAATACTTATTACTGTTGTTACCGGTACGTACCTTGCCAATGAGGGGTTGGTTGTATAGTACTATGTACTGTACAGTGTACAGAGAGAGTGAGCATACTAGAACAGAAAAGGAAATTCAAATATATAGGTATTTTCTATCTGAGTTATCTGATTATATTTGAATATATAGATTAATTACACTTCTATCCTTGAACCTCTTACTACCTACTACCCAGCCAACATATTCGAAAACAAATTCATCCATGTTGCAGCATAACTGATGGATGGCATTAGATATTATAAGCCTCATTCAACTTAGAACTGGCATGATATGGTACCAAAGATATATGATTATCCTTAAGGGATACCTACCTACTTACTACTTACTACCTAATGTAGGTACTTATGTTCGCAGTCGCTTGTCTCCTTTTAAAGTACATACTGTAGTACATGTAAGTTCCAGCCTCCTTTCATCCTGTCGGTATGAATCGTGCGGCAGAGAAATACAAGGGACTTCTCGTTCGCTTTTCCATACACGTCCCATCGAGTCCATCCATCCTAAGCGCCCAAAAGCATGGTGCGAAATACGATGTTTCCCAAATCTCACGGCTGGGTCATGAGTGGCCGAGCAAGCACAGCTTCCATCATCTCTTTATTCCGACTGGCTCAGCAAGCCCTTAACGACGTCTATATCCTTGATGCTCTTCAGGGATTCTGAATATGCTGACACACTGGATAAGATCAATCAGCTTTCCAAATTCCCAATGTAATGTTGCCAAGGGAAGGGACGAGGGTCGGTGCAACCTCATAGGAAATGTCCATAAATAGATCCTAATGCAGCTCATTTAATCTCACAAAGAATCCGGGTAAACTACCTTATTCGACGGAATATTACTGGCTTTTTTCTCACCACCCAGAGGTAACCAGGGGTAGTAGGGTATGAAATATTGATACTGATATGGATGTGCCTTGTGGATCTAGTTGCATTTTTTGGTGGCCCTACTACTTTGGCTTTTTCCCATTCATTGTTTATTGTTCAAAATCCAATATCTCGGTATATCATCTACCCATCTGGCATTTACATCTTCCGTGCATACACACAACACAACACATATAATACCGGTACAATTTGTGATTTGTGCGGAGAACCCTATTTGGAAAATATCTATTTCTGTATTTCAATCCGGGAACGCAGGTACTGCAGCTTAGCTTGTGGTGCTTGTTACTTACTTGCATATCAGTTGCACGTTCGTAAGATTCTTTCTGATCCTTCTGTCTACATGGGTGGTGCGTAAGTGCAACGTTTGTAAGATCCTCGGTAGAGCAGAGGCGTGAGATGGGGGTTCATGATAATTGTAACTTCACGATATGGCTTCAGCTTATTTCGGAACTTCAAATCTATCTCCCATCTCACCCTCTCTCTGATACGTTTGAGGAGTCTAGATATTAGGTAATGATAGTTCGGACCCCTCGAACATCCTGCATCTTTGATACCAACACTCGGCCAGATCCGATGTGACCAGGAAGAAATTGGAACCCATGCCCAACTAACAGGTATCTCGAAAAGTAAATCAATCGACAACGACGGGCAATGATCAAATCCAACACAGGGAATGTATTAATCTTGATCTGGATCGAAGACAAATCTTGTAACTCTGTAGGATCCTACGTATACCCTCCCTCCTCCACCTTCCGCCATGGGATCGCGACTTTGGCCTTACGGAGCTTTGGCCAACAACTAACTATCCATTCCTTCAATAATCCACCATATGTCACATTACATCCGTGGAATCGGAACATCCCCAGAAAGATATCCATAATACAATACTCACCGGCAATCCCGGATGACGAAGATAAACTAGAGCGAGTAAATGGTGACCTTCAGTCTTCAAACCTTTATCTCGAATCCATATAAGGAATGATAAATTCATTTGAGAGTTTAAAAAAACCTGACCTCATATCCGTAGACGATCATTAGATAGGATAGAATCTGTGGATCACATAGAAATGAGGTTGAAGATAGTCATATTAGGCATGATATGATTTTCCAAAGTCAAGGAACATTCAAACGATTTATTATTATTATATATTCTTGAATTTCTTATTGGATCCTTTCATTTACTGTTTTACTTCCCCTTCCTTTCTCATTGATCAACCACCCAAGTACCCCAAGTACAGTACTACACCGGGAGATTGAAAATCCGTTCTAACGCACAGCGAGCGGCTCGTTGTACAAATTGGGGAAATGCACCACCACCAATGCAATATGTTCTAAATTTATTACAGTTACTGTACGAACCATGCTCACTTCCCAAAGCCAACGACACAAAACAATCCATGGTTTCTGACCCAACCACACACAGACATGCGCGCCTATTCTACCAACTGACTGGAACGGTTGGCTACTTTCCATTGCAAGCAACTAAGATTCACAATTCCCCCAACAAAGGCTGAGTATATCATCTCATCTCATATCATGTCTTTCTTTCTTTTTCTCAATATAATGGCAGTGCAAGCAACAAATCAGAGAGCAATATCTCACAAGCCATGTAGTACAACGTGCGAGTAAAGTAAGTTCAACAACATGCTGACTGATATTTCTATTTCGACATACCTACCTATGCTTCGGAAGACTAAGACTGCACTTGAGCAAGGGAAAATGTCAGAAAATAGTCAGAAAATAGAAACTAAACGGGCCATATCTCGCGCATATCTGGATATCTTCCGCGCGCCAACGATACACGGATCACATACATATCCGACAATAACAACAGCCTTGAATCTGTGGAGACGCTCTGTCGTCTATTCTCTCTATCACTATCACAGACCAACAGACCGCATTCGCATGGATGGATAGATTATCTTGATCGAGATAGGTTGTTCGAGTAACCTAACCTATCGAGTTCACTCTGCTATTCGTGCCCGTAGAATTACATGATGAACTCAAGCTCATCCATATCAAGCAACTTCTTCGATAGTTTGAACTTCCTACTATAGGATCTATTTTCATTTTATGTACACTTTCCCATATCCTTCTCTTCCCTTGCCTACCTCATCAAGTCAAAAGTCAAGATGACATCTTATCATATGGTACTCGCTCTTCTCATCTGATCTTCTTTCTTCTAGTGCCCAGCTAGCTAGGTCACTGCCAGACCTAAAACCTAAAATATCCTTAAAAAGAAACACGGAACCTGGTTATCTAATGGCGACTAGCCATGAGCTTTGTATATATATACATTTTCAAATTCCCATTCGAGTCATATAAACTCTTTTCTATTTATTTATTTTATTTTCTCTTGCGCAGTGATGATGCCTGACTAGGTCGCCGATAACATAACATATAGACGGCTTCACATCCATCCCCCCTTCCTTTCTTTGGCCCCCATTCCATTTCCATTTCCATTTCCATTGCATCGGCAGGGTGCATGCGATAATACTCAACGGACAGTTGTTACACACCAACAAATATCATTTTTCCATGTCCTATTTACTATTCTCCGTTAGTTGCGATTAACCTAACCTCGTGTAATCAATCAGTCACTGCACCCTTCATCTGATCATCACTTCCCAGGTAACAACAAGAATTTTATACAAAAACTAGGTACTTACTCCAACTCCTTCATACTTATTACTGGAAGATGTAATTTCCCTTGAGCCCAGGTGTTGCATATTTTCAAAGTCGTTTTTTATTTTCTTGTCTATTGTCCGTTACT